CCGGCCGGAGGCTGTTCCCTTTGTGACGTCATAACTCCGTGACCTGACATGACCCGGTCAAATTTTTTTTATCAAAAGATGCGCAAGGTTTGCCCCATAAGGTACCCAAAATTTGGCGGCGCTGCGCGCCGCCGTTTTTGCTCTATTTCCGAAAAACCTCAGGGGGGGGGGTTGCACCAACCCCCCCCCTACATGGGCGAGGGTTAACTTTATTCTTCCTGTGCATATTATGTGTAAAATGTAAATAAAACGGTTTCGGTAACCCTGGCGTCACCGGTTATGTTTTCGTTCAAGGTTAAGGTTTCCTGTATTAGGCCACCATGCCAGGACGAAGCATGCTGTGACGTCACTGGAAGAAAAGATAACGTACCACGCTATCAGCCAAGGCTATATAACTGCAGGTAAGGACACCAGCCGTTTGACCTTGAACGCCGCCGGCCGGCCGATGACGTCATCGGAGGCAAGCCGGCTCGGTGGACACATCAAGCGAACCGTGACCGACGTCCGTGGTCGAAGCTGTCTATGCACCTAAGGACGCTAAGACGGGTGCAATAACGGCGACCCGATCCGGTCTCTGGCGAATCTATAGGGGTCGTTAGGACCCAAGCCGAATCTGACAGTTTATTTTTAGGGAGACGGGGTGGGTGAATTGACAACCGATGGTTTAACCCTCGCCGGCACAGGCCATTTTGCGTCCTTCGACGGCACAAGGGGGGGGGGGTTGGTACACTTGGGGGCAGATTGATGTTCCACCACTCCAGGGTTGTATACGACTCAATCAATAGCAATCAATTCAATCACGACAAATTTGGGAAACCAATCAAATCAATCAAGTCAGAGCAGTTTTCGAGAATTGATTCAATCGACTCAAACGCGACAATGAAAGGAATCAATCAACTCAATCAAACGACTCAAACCAAGATATACATTAGGTTTTTTGCCCCACCAACTTGGAAAAGTGTCCATAGCAGTCTGGTGTACCTACCTACCTACCTACCTACCTACAGAAGAAACATAAAAATATTGTCATTTAAAATTATAAATTGCCATGCCATTCAAAGTTTCTATGTAATAAGGAAGGATACCTAGTGATGGACAGGTGGATCATGATATTGAGGTTCAATGGGTAGAATTGGAGCAGAAGTTTCATTTAATGGGTGCAAAATAACCCAGTAGTTGACTTCAACAAACGCCCCTTAACCCAAATCACCACCTTTCACCTAAAAGTTGTCAATTTAATTTTGGCCATATTCCAGCTAAGTCATCAGGCCATCTACCTCATGTAAAGTCTGTCTCTTATGTGAGTTATGCGGAGCTCTTCTGAATTGAACCCTGAACATAATGAACCTAGCTAGGTTTCATGTCACACTGACACCATATGAAAGTGTAGAAAATGTGCTACAAATTTGACAACTTCATTAGGTATGCTTTATGAAGACAGCAGGAAAGCAGGTAGGTACCTACTTACCTGCCTAGATGTGTCACTGGCTACCAACAGTACCAACGAAGGTAGATAGGTTATATGTGAAGAATTCAAAACATTTTATTGCAATACAATTTGAAACTGTTAGGACTGGGGGATAAGGATGAGCATTAAAAATATATTTAAAAGGAAATGGAAAGGCCAGGGACTCTGGAACCACAGGAACCACAACACCAATTTCGTTTTAATTATTATTTCATTTGAAATAAAACCACTTAATAATATTCGGTAAAATATTTTAAGGAAAATGAAATATATTAAAAATATATGTTATGCTTAGGCTCTCAGGAGAAAAGGATCAACAAACGTTCTGCTGCAAATTAAACAATGCAGCAAATTAGCTATTAATTTACGTAAACGTAATTAGCGAGACGAAAACGACGCTTTTGTTTCAGTTATTTTTGTAGGGGTTTCAGATATTTATAGAGTTCAGTGGGTTGTTTCTGAGGAGATGTGGAGATGTGAATTATTAATTAATCACACTTTATTAGTATATAGGGCCTTGCACTTTATCATCTGGATTAAAAAAAAGTTTCCTGCTGAGTGCAGAAAGGTAGGTAGGTGCATCGCCAGGTATTATCTCATCCATGGCCAGGTTCTATCACAGGATTGGAGCAGTTATTGCAGTTGAAAGTCAAAGTTGGCTGTTCATGTTTAGGCCCTGCTCTTTATTTGGTCATCTACCCCATATTGCAGTTGTGATGACAAGCAGTTTTCAGTGTAGTTTTGTGATCTTTGATGTCATCAATTGGTGTCATTATTTTTCGTCAACTAAAACTTATTTAAACTTTCCATTCAATCGACTCAATCATACGAGTCACTCTAATTTTCGGGAATCAAATCAGTCAACCAGTCGCTAAAGTCAAACGAGTCAGTCAACCAGTCATCTCCAAAAGTCAATCGACTCAATCCAATCAACTCAAAATACGCGTTGAATCAAATCAATCAATTCAATCGACTTGATTGGTATACAACCCTGCACCACTCTCTACCCATCGGGCGATCCCATGGCTCAGCACTGGCTGCTGCCAGTGTTGCCTGCCCTCAGCACTGCTCAGCACCGCCTGCCAGTGCCAGTGCTGCCACTGGCAGCAGCCAGTGCTGAGTCATGGGAGCCCGATGGGTAGGGAGTGGTGGAACATCAATCTGCCCCCGAGTGTACGAACCCCCCTGATCGAGCTAGAGCTTCGCGGAAACAAAACGAGCGTGTTGCCAGTCACGAGAGGAAGCCGAAAATACCCAATTTTAGGGTCCTAGGTCATCGGGTGACCTTCCAGGTCAGGTCAATGACCCGAAAACTGGGAAAATCGGGACCTGTTACAGTCTGGCGCACTGTGGTATCTCCGATTCATTTATGGAGACGTTTCTATTATTGGAAACGTTTCCAATTTTGACTACTCTTCTGTTCCAAAAATGGAAACGCTTGTTCCATAAATAGAAACGCTATCATTTCCGCACATATTTTCTTGCCAAGGGTGGCTGGATTCGATGTATAACAACTGTTTCGCGTAAAACAAGCTCAGATACACCAAAAGCACTTGTCTTCTTGCATGGAAAGCTGTCGTATGCATTAAAATTCACGTCTTTAAAATGCTCCTGAATCGTATCCATTTATGGAGACTTAGTTTCCAAAAATGGAAACGCCGATGTTCCAAAAATAGAAACGCTGAAGTTCAAATGTGTGCAAACTTAGCTTAAATGTGTTTTTAAAATTCACATGCAACTAAAAATTTCATGTTTTGGGACTGGTTTAGCATCTCGGCTCTCGGCAGTTACCTTGGACATCGGGTTCGATAATAATACCTTACGCGCCGCAACTTGAGCACATTCAAAAGTCAACTAAAACTAAGATTTCCCAGAAATTACTGGACAGATGTGGTCCGAAGTGGGCAATACATAAAGCGTAGATATCATTTCAATATATAAAATTAATATCAATGTTATACATGAGCTAGAATGAATAAATTAATCGTCAGAATACAACGGTATTTGGTGTGACGACGGTGCAGACCTTATTTTCATCCTGCTTTTTACGTATTTGCACGGAGATTTACGTTGATCCGAGCCTACGATCATATTCAGCACATTTGAAATATCATAAAATGCCCACTTAAGTCTCCAAATAGGGCTTTGCATGCGATTTAATCAAAGATTGACGACCACCAGGCCGCTGGTACACCGGAAAACGCAGCGTGAAAATGAATGAAAAACTGAAGTTCCCGGTGATGTGGTTGTTCCAATCAATGGGTCAGTCTTTCGGTAGTCTGTTAAAAACGTTATTTTTTGTTCAAAACATTCATAAATGTTATTATTTTCGATTAGAAAAACGTGTGAATTTTTTTATCACGTCAACATGTTATAAGCATCGCCTCGTTCATCAACTTTCGGTTTTCTGATCGGAAAGTCGGAGAACAGGAACATAAACTAGAATGCTGGCTGTCGATTGGTGGCATCCTGCGCATGCCAAATTGCACCAATCAATGCCCAGTTTGCTTTAAAGGTAGCGATGCACACAGCGTCTCCATTTATGGAACAGATCGTTTCTATTTTTGGAAACGGCGTATCCATTTTTGGAACATTGTTCCAAAAATGGAAACGTTTCCATAAATGGATCGGAAATACCACAGTGTGCCCGACTGTTTTTCGCCACGCCATATGTGGAAGGCTTTTGGTGTCAATACATACATACATACATACTGGTTAGAAAGTCGTAAAGTGTGGCTGCTAAGTGGCTTTCCGGGTTGCTGATCGCAAATATCGCGTTAGTTTTGATCAGAGATGATGTCTTTAAGACCAGGTCGGGCCATTCTGAGTTTGCCTGAGTCGATCGGAATTGATCTGAGTCGGTTGAGTAGGTCTGAGTCAGTTTGAGTCGTTCTGAGTCTATCTGAGTCGATCTGAATCAGTCGAGTCCTATCCTAAGTTGAATCCTAAGTCAGTTTGAGTCTGCCTGAGTCGGTTTGAGTCTGCCTGAGCCGATTTGAGTCTGCCTGAGTCGTTCTGAATCTATATGAGTTAGTCTGAGTCTGCCTGAGTCAGTTTAAGTCTGCCTGAGTCTGTCTGAGTCATTCTGAGTCTGTCTCAGTCGATTGGAACGATTTGAGTCGGTTGAGTCGTTCTGGGTCAGTTTGAGTTGTTCTGAGTCTATCTGAGTCAGTCTGAGTTGATCTGAATCGGTCTGAGTCTGCCTGACTGTCTGAGTCGATCAGAATTGCTTTGAGTCGGTTGAGTCGGTATGAGTTAGTTTGAGTCAGTCTGAGTCGATCTGAATCAGTCGAGTCAGTTTGAGTCTGCCTTAATCGGTTTGTCTGCCTGAGCTGTTCTTTACGTTATCTTCTCTTACCCAGTGACGTCACAGCATGCTTCGGCCTGGCACGGCGGCCTGATACAGGAAACCTTAACCTTGAACGAAAACGCTACCGGTGACGCCAGGGTTACCGATACCGCAACAACACTACTAACATTTTGACATCAACTTTTAATCAAATAGCCATCAGCAAAAACTACGTTTACATACCTTCTTCTTGGCCTTGCCTCCTCCAGACCCCTCTTTCTTCTTCTGGGTCTTCTGAGGCTGCTTAGCAGCCGTCTTTCCTCCCTTTGCGTCCTTTTTGGGAGGCTGTGAAACATGCACCACGATCAGCACGATCCCGCCGAAATTGTCCCTCGTATTCCAAATCCAACCCTGATCGCATACAAAAATACCTTAAGAATAAATAGCACAATATGTGAAGCGCAAATACACCACTGCTGCTATAATACCATGATGATGACAAACCGATGCACAAAAACAGAAATATTAAGTAAATCTATGCCGCTACCCACCATGCTTGACGGAAGTTGACAAAAGGAAGTGCTGTACTCTAGTGGCGGACTTTTGAAGTTCAGCACTGCTCAAACTCACATCACGGATTTATTGTGTTTTTTTTGTGTTTTGATTTATATTTCTTTTAAGAAATCTGACATATACACTAATAAACTGGAATATCATTATTTTGACAGAAAATATTGAAAAAGAAAACAAAATAAAGCAAACAGCTTGAGCAGGGCAATGTTTACGTTTCCGGCTACGTATACAATCCTACAGCTGATGCGCCATAATTGTAGACACATAATGATGGCGAATGGCAAATGGTTATTGCATGGATTAGAGATAACTCTTATCTCTTAGGTATCTCTATAGGTATCTCTTATCCATGGTTATTGGCAGGTGTCGTGGGCGGTACTGGATGTAGGGCGCTTGTTATGTTGTGATGAAAATAAATTGCCAATCTTGTTTAATTTTTGATACATTTGAACACAGTAAACTGGAAGTATTTTGTTGCATGATTCAATATTAATCAGTGTAAAATGAAATAAGTAGCCCTTCAGTTTTGCCAAATTTTGCTGCCCCTACTTCAACTACGGATCGTTTGGTTGGGCGGTGAAGATACCGATCTGATCAGGTGTGTATTCTCTACTTGCAATTCTCACCCTTGTTTGCTTTTAGATTTATACTTTTAAAGGCTGAGCTACTCTATGCGTGACCGTCCAGGAAATTACGTGCGTTATCTGCAGATCCATGATTCCGAGACTCCTTTGACATCAGTTTCTGCAATTTTCCAGAATTTCCGTGAATTATTGTACGCTGACATAATATTAACAACTAATAAATGGTTTCATGCGCTGACCATAGTCGCCCAAGTTTGCTATCTTCTATACTATTTTGTCGATAAATAGTTTCTTTTGTTAATAAAACATCAATAAAGCATTAAAATTAAAGAAAAAATTATTAATTACGTCACTTGGATTCATACTGTGCGCCACCAAGTGCGCCAACCACTGGCTCATATCACGCAATCTCGCAGATTCTGCAAAAAAGTCTGTAGCTCTGAGCGTTACATCCGGCATTTCTTGTACTGAGCGTCCGGGATTTCCTTGACTGAATCTGCGTGACCCCAGTGTAGCCGACCCTGTGTATTTCCAATCAGCTGAACTTCATCTGCGTATTGATATCCGCAAACTCGTAGATTACTCATGTAATTTCCTGGACGATTACGCATAGTGTATCTCGGCCCTAACTTGAGCTTTACAATCAACTGGTATTGGTAGCGTTAGCATTTTTGCTGCGAGTTTAAGACATTGCCTCTCGCTTGCCCGTTTGTCTGAGATGACTATTCCCTTCAGTCACAGTATTGCTGGCTTCACACGAACAGGATACCATCATACCCGAGTGAGCGCACTCGCAACCAGCATCCCCTCCCGTCAGCCGGCGCAGTGGCGGGCGGCCCACTCCCGGCGCTACGCACGCTCCACACCGCGATAGCAGCGCGTTACTCTCCCTCCCTCCTTCCCCCACAATGACGGGTGACCTCACTCCCCTCGGGATTTGGACTTGCCCTACCCGACCTTAGCGCCACGTGGTGGCTCTGGAGATCTTAAATAGACCCACTGTACAAAGTGATTTTAAGCCTGGCTATTGCAGTGGGTGACATTGAAGCAGATGTCTGGCCCCAGCTGGTTTGATTTACTACTTCAGTATTGTTGTGCAGTCCGGCTAGCATTCTTGACAAAGCTTTCCTATACGCCGAGATATCCGTCTCCTAGCTAATGTTGCAGTTTCAAACACTCGTCCCGAGTGGGTGCGTGCCAAGGCCTCGCTGATCCAATGGTCGTGTCGTGTTCCGGCAGGTGACCGTCGCGCGCCGTGCGGCCCGCCATGCTGCCCGTCTCCAGCAAGGACCGGCCGTACCGGAACAGTCTGTGGCAGCGGGTCTCGGAGCGCGTCGCCGGCTGGCTGCGGCTCATCTTCGCCGACCAGAACGCCAAGAACCTCTTCTTCTTCCTGCTGCTGAACCTGTCGTTCGCGTTTGTCGAGCTGTTCTACGGCGTGGCGACCAACAGTCTGGGGCTGATCAGCGATGCGTTCCACATGTTCTTCGACTGCACGGGCCTGCTGGCCGGCCTGGTGGCGGCCGTGATCACGCGGTGGCGCGCCAACGAGCGCTTCTCCTACGGCTACGTCCGAGCCGAGGTGCTGGGCGGCTTCATCAACGGCCTCTTCCTGCTCTTCATCGCCTTCTTCATCTTCTCGGAGGCGGTGGAGCGCGCCGTCGAGCCGCCCGAGGTCAAACACGAGCGGCTCTTTGTCGTGTCCGTGCTCGGCCTGCTGGTCAACCTGGTGGGCATCTTCGTCTTCCAGCACGGCGGGCACGGCCACAGCCACGGGGGCGGCGGCGGCCACGGCCACTCGCACGGCGGGGACGGCCACGGGCACAGCCACGGCGGCCACGGTCACGGGCACAGCCACGGCGGCGACAGCCACGGGCACAGCCACGAGCTGCCGCAGGGCTCCAACTCTCAGATCATGAAGGGCGTGTTCCTGCACATCCTAGCCGACACGCTGGGCAGCGTGGGCGTCATCGTGTCGGCCGTGCTCATGAACCAGTTCGGCTGGATGATCGCCGACCCCATCTGCTCCATGTTCATCGCCGCCACAATCGCCATCTCGGTGCTGTCGCTGATCCGCGAGTCGGTCTGCATCCTGATGCAGCGGCAGCCACGCGAGCTCGACCACCTGCTGCCGGGCTGCTACCAGCGCGTGGCGCAGCTCGAGGGCGTGCTCAGCGTGCAGGAGCCGCACTTCTGGACGCTCTGCTCGGACGTGTACGTGGGCGTGCTCAAACTGGAGGTGACGCCGCACGCCGACCCCAAGTACGTGGTCAGTCACACGCACATGATCTTCTCGGCGGTGGGCGTGCGGCAACTGCACGTGCAGCTCGACTACGCGCCCATGTGACCGCCGCGGCCACCCTAGGACCCGCCCCCCATATTTATTGGCACGGCCTCCAGGGGCTCGGAGACAATCCGCACGGCCAGCGTTCTCCACAGAGCTATTTTTATAAGTGTGCGGGCGATCTGAGGTAGGTAGGTAGGTTGTTTTTATGTTTGCATTTTATTTGGTGGCGCGCGCGCCGCCGGGCGGTGCGCGGGCATTCCTCTGTGTTCCACTGACCCTGCGGCGGTGGCCATATGTGATGATTCCGTGTTGTTACCATCTGAGCTGTTGTGCCAGATACACGTGGACCATGGTAAAGACACTATTTACAGGAGACGGTCGTGCCCAGTGGAACTCGGACCGAGACGGCGCCATGTGCGGTTTTACACCAGCTCTTCCTATCGTCCGGGTCCCGCCGCTGGCTGTGGCGAATTGCAGATCGTGAAAGTCGCTTTACAGTCGCTCATAAATACAGTCATACAGTCGCTCAAAGTGGGTGTAGGAATGCTATTTTTTATCGTATATTTAATCGCCGGGGTAGTGAAGGAAATGTGACGAGCTAGTGCGGGTCCGAACAGGGCACAAGACTGGTCACGTTACGCACGTCTAATGCATGGTAACGCACCCAACGGATACGCATTTACTTTCCCTAAATGTTTAGAATGCGGATTATCTGTCCGAAACCCCGGCATCTGGCGAAATAAGCCGGTCCGCCGCCAACTTGGTAACCTGTTGTGCGCTCAATGCTACTCGTCTCGCTGCCGCCGTGCCGGCCGGCGCCCCCGGTGTCCCGTCACGTCACGTCACGCGTCCGGTGACGGCTGACGTGACGCGTCAGCCCGCCGACGCGGCGATTGCCGCTATCGCCAGACGCCCGCCCTCAGCTGCGGGGCGGATAGGGGGCCGGCACAACCGCCATTAGCGCCGCGGGTAATCAGGCGGTGAGACAAGTGGCCGGCCGCCCCTCCGGTCCCGGTGGTCACTGGTCACCCCCTCCCCCCCCCGGACCGGTCCGGAGCGGCGGCGGTCAGCGGACGTCCGGTGCGGCCGCCGGCCGGCCGCTCCGTGGGGATCTGATAGGACGGTCGGCTGGGGGTTCCGGGCCGCCGACTGCTGCAGAGTGCAGTGCTGCACAGTGGCCATCAAACACACCGCTGCGGCGACTGACGGCGGCCGCGGTACGCACAGACACGCACACACCCACACACTGTCAGTGAGTGTACCGGCTGCGGCGGGGGGCGGAGGCTACAGCCCCGTCAGACAACAGCCAGGCTGCGGGGGCATTCGTTACCGAGCGGTCCCGACCAGTACAAAACGTTCCCCCGGCCACAGCCGTCCGACGGGGACAGGATCTGACCGCACTACGGATGGAATGGGAACGCCCGGCGAAATACTACAGAGGACGGGTTTCAATTACAGACGCACCGGTCTCTGACTTTACACGGGAACCTTGACGTCCGTGCCCGCAGTCTGACAGTTAAAACAAATGCCAAAACTGAACTGGTCTGATGGTCTGTCAGACCCGCGCTGGTCTGGTGACGGGAGTAGGCCATCGCCCGTAAATGTCAGCTGAAATAGGGACGTCCGTATCAATCGAGACAGTTTTCACGCCCGAAATCTTTTTTAACGAAAAGTGGCACCCTATCAAAATTTGATTACACGCATTCTTCAAAGTTTTTTTTTTTGACGTGCCATTCTAAAAACATTAGGGATTTCTATCCTGTAGATGTTCTATTACTCCGGAGACGTCCTTAAACTCATGTGTCGCACAATATCGGGTTGCAAAACAATAGGGACGTCACGGTTGACCTCAACCAGGCACAGACCAGCCAAGAGAGTGGGACTGCAACAAACAACATAGTTTGTGACTAGTTCACTGCCCTTTTTTGCAACACAAAGCCCACCCTTTCACCATGTTCATTGTCTTACCAAACATTTATTTTACCAGCCTGAATCAAGCACAGTGCTCGCAAATATCACAATACACGGTCTGAGTAGAAAACTGAAACCTAGAGGCCGCAGCATGTTCACATCTATCAATAACCGGAATAGACCCGACATTTTCTGAAGCCCAGTGCGCGTCGCTGCCTGTCGACGGGATAGCCTGGCGCTAGTTCCGGCCCTGACCGTCTGGCGGCGCCAGCGTCTGCTCGGGTCAGTTGTCAGACGGCCTCGACGGCCGGCTGTGCCGCCGCCGGCGCCTCCTGACCACCGTCCGGTCCGGTCTGTACGAGACGCTCCATTTCGCTGATCATGTCGAGCAGGTCGGCCTCTATGTCGGCGCCGCCCGCCGGCCCCTCGGTGGCCGGGGTCGGAGTTGGGGTCGGCTCTGTGGCACCCCAGAGGCCCGGGAGGTGCAGCACCTGACCCGGGTCCACCTGACGGCCAGGGAGGGGTCGTTAGGGGGAGCTGGGAGCTTCCCAGAGGCCCGAGAGGTGCAGCACCTGATCCGGACCCACCTGACGGCCAGGGAGGGGTCGTTAGGGGGAGCTGGGAGCTTCCCAGAGGCCCGGGAGGTGCAACACCTGACCCGGGTCCACCTGACGGCCAGGGAGGGGTCATTAGGGGGAGCTGGGAGCTTCCCAGAGGCCCGGGAGGTGCAGCACCTGACCCGGGTCCACCTGACGGCCAGGGAGGGATCGTTAGGGGGAGCTGGGAGCTTCCCAGAGGCCCGAGAGGTGCAGCACCTGATCCGGACCCACCTGACGGCCAGGGAGGGGTCGTTAGGGGGAGCTGGGAGCTTCCCAGAGGCCCGAGAGGTGCAGCACCTGATCCGGACCCACCTGACGGCCAGGGAGGGGTCATTAGGGGGAGCTGGGAGCTTCCCAGAGGCCCGGGAGGTGCAGCACCTGACCCGGGTCCACCTGACGGCCAGGGAGGGGTCGTTAGGGGGAGCTGGGAGCTTCCCAGAGGCCCGAGAGGTGCAGCACCTGATCCGGGTCCACCTGACGGCCAGGGAGGGGCCGTTAGGGGGAGCTGGGAGCTTCCCAGAGGCCCGAGAGGTGCAGCACCTGATCCGGACCCACCTGACGGCCAGGGAGGGGTCGTTAGGGGGAGCTGGGAGCTTCCCAGAGGCCCGAGAGGTGCAGCACCTGATCCGGGTCCACCTGACGGCCAGGGAGGGGCCGTTAGGGGGAGCTGGGAGCGTCCCAGAGGCCCGGGAGGTGCAGCACCTGACCCGGGTCCACCTGACGGCCAGGGAGGGGTCGTTAGGGGGAGCTGGGAGCTTCCCAGAGGCCCGAGAGGTGCAGCACCTGATCCGGACCCACCTGACGGCCAGGGAGGGGTCGTTAGGGGGAGCTGGGAGCTTCCCAGAGGCCCGAGAGGTGCAGCACCTGATCCGGACCCACCTGACGGCCAGGGAGGGGTCGTTAGGGGGAGCTGGGAGCTTCCCAGAGGCCCGAGAGGTGCAGCACCTGATCCGGACCCACCTGACGGCCAGGGAGGGGTCGTTAGGGGGAGCTGGGAGCGTCCCAGAGGCCCGGGAGGTGCAGCACCTGATCGGGGGGGGGGGGGGGGGCGCCAGGAGGCTACAGAGGAGGCCGAGTGGTGCCGCGGTCCAGTGATTCTGAGACTCTCCCCGGTACGCCAGTAACGTATCGTACCCTCCAGTGACTCGTTCACTTTGCCGCGGTGCGGTCCCCACCGCCGCTGACTGACCGGCACACCCGGCCTCACCTGGCTGTAGTGGGCGAGTTGGGAGGGCAGCTCCAGCTCGGGTGGCTCGAAGATCTCCACGGCGTAGAGCAGCGGCTCGGCGGCGGGCTCGGCCGCGCACACCGGCTCCTCCTGCGGCTCCTTCAGCGGCCGCGAGCAGTTGGTCGCCACCAGCTCCAGGGTGAGCTCGTACCGGTAGCCGCGCTGGACCTGCGCGGAGCCCGGCCACGGCGTCAGACACGATTTGTTCTACGCGATTCAGGTTACGTCTTAATTCAGTCAAAATCCTACATTGGTATCGATATTTTCTAACAGTTAGATCACAGCCTATTCCGAATGCCAGCCAGCTGCCAGTCCCACGAGTACCCCCCTTGCCCCCTTGCCAAACAGTCTGCGCCTGCGCCCGGCCTCCTGCCGTTCGCTGGGCGCCGGCGGCGCCGCTGCCCACCTGGTAGGCGGCCCGGTACACCTGGGTGACCTCTGTGACCCGGGTCATATTCAGCTCCTCCTCGAGCAGCTCAGCGGCCAGCTGCGCCATCTCCCTCAGTTCAGCGCTGTCGGCGGTCAGCTCCACCAGACAGCCGAGACAGGGCGCCACCTGCGGCCCAGCGCCGCCTCAGACCGGGCCGTGTGTTACACGACAAACACCAGACAGTCGACTCGGACCGGGCCGCGTGTTACACAACAAACACCAGACAGCCGGCTCAGACCGGGCCGTGTGTTACACAACAAACACCAGACAGTCGACTCGGACCTATCCGTCCACTCGGCACAGCACGACAGTCACCTCACAGCGGCCTCCAGTAAATCGGTGACCGCCGTTCACACAATACGGGCTAACGAGCCTCCCACACTCTAAGACAAAGGGAACCCAAAGCAGCCCATCCAATCAATAAATAATTTACCAGCCGGTAAGTCATTCTCAATGTACTAACGAGTTGTTCGATGGTGTTTAATACTGAGTCAATACCAGGGCATTGTGTGCAGTGCTACTCCCGCGTTCCTGCGGTGGGGTGTTGCCAGGGACGGGTCCGGGTCGGGGTCAGAGCCCAGAGGCCGGGTGGGGGCCGGGTAGGATTGTCGGCACATGGACGGGTCGGGTCGGATCGGGTCGGGTCGGACAGCCGGGTCGGGTCAGGTCGGACGGTCGGGTCGGCTCGGACAGTCGGCTCGGACAGTCGGGTCGGGTCGGGTCAGACGGTCGGGTCGGGTCGGGTCGGGGTTGGGGTCGGACGGTCGGGTCGGGTAACGCCTCACCTCGGTCACCACCTGCTGCTCCGGCGGCGGCTCGGTCCCCGTCTCTGACTCTGCCGGCGCGGGCTCGGCCAGCGGGTCCCCGGCCAGCCCCAGACCCGCGAACGCCGACAGAAACTCGTCCAGCCCGTCCAGGAAGGGGCTGTCGGTGGCGGGCGCTGCCAGCGCGCCGCTCAGAGCCAGCAGCAGCAGCAGCAGCGGCGGGAGGCGTACCATGGCGGTCCGACCGCCAGTCACCGCGGAACGTCCGAGCGCCGGGCACTGGGGCGCGGCTCCGCCGGGCACTGGGGCGCGGCTCCGCCGGGCTTGGCTGGGTATGGCCGACCTGAAACACAACTGCAGCAGTGAGGTGTGGAACCGAACCGGCACTGACATAGCACAGCGGCACGAAACTGACGAAGGGGAGACTTTGGCAGAACCATAACTACAATACAGGCACAGGATATATCCCAGTGTCATGCCAACGACATTTCCATCAGGGCAGGGGCAGACTACACGTCTTTTTTCTTCCCAATCACTCAACTCGAGACTAGGAGGCAAGTAATTTCACAGCTGCGCTACATCTGATTTATTATTGGCTCCGCGTCAGCCCATTCCCAAAGGCCGGTTCTCTCGCCGAGACCAGTGAGCCGGATCAGCACAACCACGGAATCAGCACCGCCGGGATTGGATTTTAACGCAACGCCGACACCGTTTCCGAGATTCGCAAAGCGCGCACCAGTCGCCTGCTACATCAGCTATATAACAGATACACAAACTGGGAGTTGATAAATAGGCGATGGTATGAAACTGATTACCATACAGCAGAGGTGTACTGAGTACAGGACGAGCCCGGGGCATCCACTGAACTGGAGACTGTCCAGTGTCCAGATATGTGCAGAAATAGAGGCCTCCAGCTCAGGGAGGCGCGAGGGAACGTCGGGGGCCAGCTCTGCCGACGGGCTGGCCGCAGTTCTGGTCCGCCCAGGCAGCTCGGGGTAAACAGAGGTTCGCTTGGGTTTCTCTAAACACTGATTAACTCCCAGCGGGCACGCGATCCCCCCGCCTCGGCCGGCGGTAACCCGTTGAGAGCGGAAAACACAAATAGAGCTCAGAGTCGGCCGGGCGAGCCTGCCCCCCCCCCCCCACACACACACACTCACACACACACACACACACACACACACACACTGAGCTTGCATATCCCCGCTCAGTGAGACGCTCCCGTGAACGCGTTTTCTCGTATATCGTCTCCCAATGGCGGTCATGCGTGAACCAGGGCGGGAGCAATGCTAACAATAGCGGCACAATAGGGACGAAATAGCCGAGCACGAATCCGGTACGATATCGACGGCGTTCAATAAGGAGAGAGAGAGAGAGAGAGAGAGAGAGAGAGAGAGAGAGAGAGAGAGAGAGAGAGAGAGAGAGAGAGAGAGAGGAGAGAAGAGAGAGAGAGAGAGAGAGGGGAGAGAGAGAGAGAGAGAGAGAGAGAGAGAGAGAGAGAGAGAGAGAGAGAGAGAGAGAGAGAGAGAGAGAGAGAGAGAGACATTCACCCCCCCCCATACCCCAACAATGACACCCCTCGTATAACATACAATATGCATAGCAGCGTTACAGAGCCAGTGGCAGAACAGCCCGCCTCATTACTGTCCGATTAGCTGACCTATCCCCGACGGCGGCGGCGTTCCTCTGACCTGGGACGGTCCCGGTAAGGTGGGACTGGTATCGGCGCGCAGCCGCCGGCCTGCCACTGTCGGGACACCTCCGCGCCCACTGCAGACGGTCTCTGCCCACGGCGCCGGCGGTACCCGGCGAACAGCGCCGCCCAGCCCCGACCTTGGATTGCGGCGACCGACTTACCGTCCGCGCCGGAGCACCGTGACGTCACCAGCTGCCGCTAATGAGGCCGTGAGCCGCCGCAGACACGCGTGACGTCACCCGGCTCTCTGCTGACGTCACCCCTCCGAGCTACCCCTACCCCTCCCTCAGAGAGGACAGTCAATCACTTCAGTTGGGCGACTCCCCTAGAATCATTACACTATACCAGTATATGACGGTCAGTATGTGACAAGTGGGGCACCCCGGCCACTCCACACCCCGTCTGCCGTCCGCACCGGCCGCTGCCCGAGGGCGGCACTGACCTGGGTAGGGTCGCTGGCCGCCGCTGCCCGAGGGCGGCACTGACCTGGGTCGGGTCGCTGGCCGCCGCTCCTGCAGCTCGCTGGCTGTGTCGGCAGTCGGAGGCAGCCGGCCGCAGTCCGTCCGCCCTGCCGGCCGTTCCGCCGCGTCCTGAGTGCCACCGTCCGACACTGGCCAGACCGGCGGCGGGACGGGGCCGGGACGGGGCCGGGCCACAGCTCCGGCTCGGCCGGCACGTGCCAGAGGTCGGACCGTGGGTCACCAGGTCACCAGGTCACCACCGGGGCCGCTCCCACCGCGGGCGAAATCAGCACGGACCACAACGAACAGCCGCACCACCTTCCGACTCCCTTCACTACATGTAACGAACAGCCGCAACAAGTCGGTACTAATATCGTTAACTCACTCACTACTCATCGCCATTCGCTGTACCACGGTGACAGACCTTTGCCAATAAGATAACAAGGAAAAACCTAATAGCTTCGCAACTTGGCAATGATGGATTGTGGATGCGTCCTAGTACATGTATTGACGTCATCGACTTTCGCTGACACTGTGGGGTCACCTCCGTAAGATGTAACAATACTGGCACTGCTGGCCGCCACAGACGGCCGAAAAACTATCGCGTACAAAAGTTGTCCAATCTGGTCTGATGACACCCGGCACAGCACGGCCGTGATGAGCCCAGACCACGTTGAGTCCCGTCACAGACAGTGGATCTCGGGGGGGGGGGGGGTCACCGGAGGACCCCCATCCCCCCGCGTGTAACCGCGAGTCACCGGTCACCGCGAGTGTCACCGACTGCGGTCACAGCGCACGGACGGGGCGGGGCGGGGCGGGCGGCCCCGTATCACAGCGAGAGGGTGGGCGGAGGGCCGGACTCGGCCCATCGTCAGCTCCAGTCTCCGGCCCCTGGCAAACGGACGAGACGCAGTCAGACACGTATATACGGTAGGACACGGTAAGGTAAGGTAAGGTAAGGTACGGCAAGGCATGGTACAGCACGGTACAGCATGGTACAGCACGGTACAGCACGGTACAGTCAGTGTCACTGGCTCCATAAAACGGTACGCCCGGCCGATCATCAGACAGAGATCCAGACTCGAGATCCAGCGGGTTACGTGGCGAGACACTATGGTACGATACGAAACGGTATAATAGGGTATTATGGTACAGTAAGCTACGGTAAGATACTGTATGGAACACTACGATACGATATGGTAAATTGGTATGACCGCACTCACTAATAACGACACGGCCGGACATTGGATGGGAGCCCCTCCGTCCGTGTCAACTGGGCGGATATGCGCCCATGGTAACGACATGCCGAGATACGGGGGACGGCAGGGGCTACTCAGTAGTCTGAGGACGGCAGCTTCTGTCGTGAATCAGTGTACCGCGTGTGTTAGTTCAGCGCCCAGTATGTGACTGTGCGGCTGTACAGTCGGCGCGTGCGGCTCACCGCTGACGACCACCGGTCCCGAGTCGCCGTCCTCCAGGCCGCCCTCCCAGTCGGCGTCCAGCTCCATCTCGCCGCCCTCGATGTGAGCCGGCGCCGCGAGCCGTGCGGCCAGCTGCGCGGACCGCTCCTCCTGCGGACGGCGCACGGCCCGCGGCCCGGGCCGGGGGCGGCGTCAGCGCCGTACCACACCGTGCGGAAAGGGGGTAAAGACAGGGCCTCTCTCACACAATCAATGACATTCTCATGCGATTATTTAGTTTTTGTTTGTTTGTTTTATCTATAAAGAAAGCATAGGTATTCAAATTCAGGACGCTTACGGAAAAAAGAGCTTTGGTCCTTGGAAGCAATAATGCATTGAAGTCAACGACTGATATCTCGAAATTAAGGTCACTTGATTAAGCATTGCATGATGATTATCTTTCAGATATATTTTTTTACAGAGTAGTTAAAGTAGAAACATATTAAATATCGACAATACCCAATCGACTACTAACGATACCAAACCATCGGCCACATGGATAGAAGTCCGTTTAACCATTTCGTCTTAAACTGCCCAGCTATGCGCCGTAGCTGATGAGCCGATTAGGCCCTGGCGGGTTCCCGAGCCTGCCGACAGTCGCGGCCGTCAGCAGCCAGTGCCCCCAGAGCGGCCGCAGTCGCCCCGTTCAGAAGTCCTTAGACCAGCCAGCCGGCTCCACCGCCGTCTCGACTGGGGCCGTACCGCGCCGCGCCATTTCCCCGCGCACGCAAACGAGCTCGGGGCTCGCCGGCTATCTCGTCCGGCCAGCGTGCCGGCGCGGCCGCCTCCGCAGCCGCCCATTATGATACGGCAGGACGATAATTCCGGCCGAGGAGCCCCGGCCGTCTCCCGCGAGCACTGCACGGACGGCCACCTCCGCAGCCAATACCAGCGGCTCACAGCGAACTAATCCGCGAAATGAATACAGCTAAAATTGTGACAGCTATAGCTCACTGTACTTGAATAGCTACGGTAAAATCGTTAGGTAACAACAAAACGGAATGCTATAAAAAGCAGGAGAGTACAGTCCACGCCGGCTCAGCCGACTGATACATTCCAAAGACTTCTGAATCAAGCTCACTGAACAAGATTGACACCTTTGGTGCTCTGAAAGCGCCCAGAAAATTGCGAAGCGGAGCATCTTTACATTTACAGACATCAGGAAATTTGGCACTTTCGTGTTTCGACGAAGAAGTCTTGAACAGTCGCTACATTGCGAGCGACTAATGTTATCCCATTCTACTGTAGTCTATTATACGCAACTAATTCGATTGCGTGACCGTCACGGCATGGGTCATGTGCCAAACCATGAGTGCCGAAATTGCTCCGCTGACAATCACTCGGTAATGACCCGGCCAATTGCGCTGGGACCTGCCCTCTGGGCGGGCACCCGTCAGGCGATTCATTGCCATGAGTCACGGCTGGGTACTTCTGTACGCACGCATGTGTAGGCTATGCCGTGTCTACGCTTCGACATCTTGGTCTCGAGAACGGCCGGGCCGATTAAGCTCGGATGAGTACACCGTTAGGGACGGTTTAGAAGGGTGACCGGCAAAAGTCGGTTAGGGGCCCACTGTGCATTTAGCGCGTGCACAAGGCGTCGCCGGGCACGACGTTGTACGATGCTTATTTTTATATTCCGTTAGGGACCAGCTAGATGAGTGACTCACACAACTCGGTCGGAGTTCCACTTTGGCACACGGTCGCGCTCGCTCGTTGGTCGCCCGAGAGCGTGTGACCGGGACGGGTGTAGAGGAGTGTGTGGCGGGCCGGTGCGGTGCCGGCCCCGGAGCGTACCTGGGTGATCCTGTCGTGTCGCGTCAGCAGCTGTAGCGACTCGTCCATGTTGAGCAGCCGGGTGTGCGTGTCGGGTCGGGCGGGCGCCGCCAGCGCCGAGTCCGACCACTGCGAGAGCACTCCGCGCCGTGCCGGCGCCTCTCGGCCGGCGGCCGGCGCCCGAGCAGCCCCGGCCGGCGGCGGCCGCCCGCCCGGCCAGCGCGGCCGGTTGGTGGAGAAGCGCGTCTGGCGCCCGGAGGTGGCGCTCTTGGGCAGCAGCTGCCGGGTGGTGGGCACCGCCGGCCCGCCGGAGCCGGGGTCCGCACCGGCCGCGTCCGCCGCCGGCCGGCTGCGGGCAGGGACGGTGACAGCGGGTGAACCGGCGGCCACCGGTGAGCGCGACAATTACTGGGGGCTGCCGGCTGGGCAGGGATCCTCCCGCTTCAATATGGAAGAGTGCATGGAATAAAACAAAAGAAATAACTTGTTCAGTGGAACAAGGAATACACCGCACATATATGCCATGGATATCGCGCATAATAGCTAATGGGTAATGCTACCATTATCAGTGAATCAATGAGCGATGAGATCAACAGGCACTATATGATAAAAGATCACAATCACAATGAATCACAAACACAACGACTTTAGAGCCAGTTACAGTTGGTTGGTCACTAAGAAAAAAATGAAGAAAAACTCTAGAAATTCATTTTATTAACATTTACGAAGTGTTTCAGCAAGTTCGGGAGCCGCGACAGCGAGGCGTTGATTCAATGACTCACGCCGTGCAGTTGTCGGCAGCTGCAGGCGCCCGGCGCGGCTCCTCGCCCTCCGATGGTCCTCCGGCGGTCGGCCACTCGGCCTCTGGCTCCGAGTCGTCGTCGCTGTCCAACTCCACTGGCGCAGAAACTGCCCGCGCAAAGGAACGCAGAAACCAGACATCAATGGGGAAGTCAACCTTTAAGGTCCGAAATGATCACTTAAAGGTAGTGTGCCAGCTTTCCTGGACCGTATGGAGTTAATGGCCCAGATAAGGAGAACCGGATTTTTAGAACTTATCCATACCTTCAAAACTCATGGAAACGTCTTAAATTCTTCAAATTTTGAGTACCCCAGTGCGAAATTCGCCCCGACGGGTTGTCGGTCGTACCCCAACCACATTTCACAACACTATGAACAATAAATGCACACACTGAAATCGCTATTACCGATATACTCATCCAATCAAGTTTCGATAAACCCGTTCATCATCATCTCCTGCGGTTTCGAACACGCCTGTTAGGTGGTGCGGCAGACCGCGCCCAAAGCCAGGGCCCCGGTAACGTGAGGTAGCCGAGTCGGGGCAGCGTGCGCTGACCCAAGCCGGGGCCGCGCGTCCTCCCGGTGTCATGTGATAGCCCGGGGCTGCCCGCGGGGATGCGGTAGACCGCGCCCAAAGCTGCGGCCCCGGCTTGGGTCAGCGCACGCTGCCCCGACTCGGCTACCTCACGTTACCGGGGCCCTGGCTTTGGGCGCGGCTTCTGCTCATACTTTGTAATGCGGTGGTGGTGCGTCGGGCCGCGCGCTCTGACTTCGGCCAAGAAAAATGCGTCAGCTGATCATTGTCATTTCTGCCACTTGCGTGTGGTGAAATGGGATCATAACTTAAGAGACGGCTTTTTCATATCAATTATTTTACATAAAATCATATTTCAAACCATGAATAATGTTCGACAGCCAAATAAAAGAAACAATACCAATACAGGCTTACACTTTAAGGCTCGACATTGTGTTGTCTACGATTAGACAGCTGATAACTCATTCCCGTACGTCGTAACTCTATAATGACCTTTGCTTATTGTCACATGTGCGCCGCATTCGCGATTGTTGCCGACGCCTGTTTGCAGCTCAGCCCACTACAGTTGTTATACATATCGAAAAACCGATAAACTTTTAGGCGAAAAAGGCACTATTCCAGGCCCATTTTTGATTTTCTTTGCGATATTAGGTAAAAACAGAAGCTTCTTATCCTAGGAAAAATAAAATGGGAAATCTTTCAAAGGTGGCACACTACCTTTAAATCAAAGCTCACGCTTCAGGGAACGGATTTGAAGAAGTTGATCAAAATGGGCAAGACAGGTATAGGCTTTATTTATAGGCCCTAATGCACTGACCGGTCCGCCGGCCGGTGTCCCACTCCATCTGGGCCATCCTCTGCGCCAGCCGCTCCACCTCGGAGGCGGCGCGGCTCTCGAGCGGCGGCGGGCCCGGCTCGGTGGCCGCACCGCGCGCCGCCAGCTCCGCCTCCACGGCGGCCAGGGTGCGGCGCGCCGACTCGCCGCGGTCCCGCAGCCGCGACAGCAGAGCCCTGCGGACCGACCGAACGGACCGAGGGTACTCCACACCGATCCACAGAGACAGACAGAGAGCCATCCACTTTGGTTGTAATTTGCAGCCATAGGCATATATAGATCATATTCAACAAAATTGCTGGTTAGGCCAACTGAAAAGCATAATAAAATACCACATCTTACATAGACCTGTCATGACTGGAAGGGTACCTTAAAAACATCTTTAAAAAAAGACAGTCACCTATGCTGATGCCACTTTTAGCAGTGTTTGAACCTATATGCACTTACCTATTACCAACTATGCTTTTGTATCGAGTCTGCAATATTTTCAACTTGCTTAGCTCCATTGTCTCCAGGTCACCAAGTTTTGTGTCTGGATCTGGATTTTGGGCATAGACTTTACCAGCTGACTCCATGGTGATGGCTGTGAGAAAACAATCATTATTCAGAAACAAAACCTAAAGTGCAGCATGAGTTAGTCAGAAACACTGAAAATTGACAGTGGCACACACCAACTTAATTTGTACAGGATAAAACAGAATGTAATTAGTATTAACTAATTGATGCATATAAATAAACTTAACAATTGATAATGATGTTTAGGTATCTAATAATTTGTTTTACCATGTTCCATGTAAATAAAAAGTAGAAATACTTATAAGCATTACCATTTCTAAGTCTGAGCTGTTCATGAAAGTATCTAGGTACATTGATAAATTATAAATGCTCGCTTTGCATAAATGCATAGTTCTACGGACAATTACCTAAATGCTTATATATAAATATATGTATGTATCAGCTTGATTAAGTCCTGTGAACTGCAACACACCTATAATATTGCCACAGATATTAAATATTGTACATTTTATGCTAATAAAAGGTTCATATTTTGATTAAAAACAGAATATCTAGTAGCTATTTTCTCACATAAATTAGATACTTACCTACCTACGGTATTCTCTTAGCAGACGTCACCCTTGCTGCCATATCTAGTTAGGTAGGTTGTAGGTTGTAGGGTCAGACTCAGATTAGATATTTTGTTATATACTTATCTCTGAAAAGACAATTGTGGCGCACGTGAGACGTGGATACCGCAGCTAGGGCAACGTCTGCTAACAGAGTACCCCTACCTACCTAGGTAGTTGAAACCAAACGAAACAGCTTATTGATTATTGAATACTCTGATACAGCCTAGCCTAGCTTGAAATAATTAACCCATGCTTACTTGAAATGCCGGTTGCTGAAAATTATCTAAAATGGCAGCTAAGGCTTTTAAAAATATTATTTTTGGTCTTTCAGTACAAGTACCTAGGTAACATGATCCGTTGCCATTATGAAAATGTGCCTCGCAGCCACCTCTCCCAGACAACCACCTTGACCTATGTGTGCATGTTTATCTATATACACTGTGCGACATTAAACTTAGGACTCCAAATTCTGCCATAGAATCGGAATTGCACGGTGTATCGGAATTGCAATCGCGCTATCGGAGTCGGGCATCAGCATTGCATAGAGGCCATAGAGGGCAGGGTCAACACAGCAAGCTTCGCTTGGCGGCGGGCCCGGGGGCTCTGTCCCTGTAAATCCTTTCATTCAAAGTTTCGGGCTTAATTAATTCCTTATTTTTTTAATAGGTATATAAACTGAAAAATGATGGCATTGCATTGGAAAAGGGTAGGTACCTAGGGTTTATATAGCCTTGGTACCTAGGTATCTTTGAAAATTCAAAGCAGTAACATGTTGTTGTTGTTGTTGAAGAGTTAGGGCGCGCAGCAGCTTGGCTCAAGCGTCCAACTTCCAAGTTGGTATGTCCTCTTGTAGTCTTCAGAGTTGCAGTTGGCGTATGGTTGTGGTACTAAGCGGAACTAAGCAGGTTTCCAGGTAGGGATGAGGAATGACTGGGGAGAGGAAAAATTGCGATGGTTAGGAGATAGCCTTGGTAGGATATGTCCTGGGCGAGGAGAGAACAGAGAAGTTAATATTAGTTGTGAATACTACAATGCTACTTACAGTCTTAGCTACTTGGGGATAGCCAAACAGCTCGGTAAGCAGGAAGAGCAATACAGCTCATTCTTCAAGGGGGCAAAAGGCGCTCTGGGAGAAGGCATGGTTCTATCTAGAAAGAAAAAAGAAAAAAAGACACAAAACTTGGGTCTTGACATGGGGGTTACACGATACTTAGGGATTTCACTTCACAGTATGGGGGTGACATAGAAACACATAACATACCCAACCAATTTCAGACATTTCAGACAGGTGTTCTTACAACGTGACCATTGGTGAAGTATTGCTTAACCATGAATGCATGAGCTCGAGTAGTAATCCACTCTTTTTAACTAGAAATACCTAATCCATGGTTCTTGGATTCAACATAACATGAAGGATTGTGTCGAGCTTATCTGAAGCCATAGCACATATGGAAACAAAATACATTTCATTATCATCACTTAGCACCCATAACGCCTCTACGTCCTTTGTTCAGAGTTTGTCGTATAAGTTGCACTGTCGAAGATAATCGAACACCGCATCCACCACAGTGGGTTCACCGTTTCCCAGGAGAATCCCCAGCGACATGCGGACTCCGACATCTCGACACGCCGCTGCGAGTCTCCTCCTCGCTACAGTGTACTTTCGGCATTCTAACAGTATGTGTTGAACATCTTGGCGACATTGACACAGTTCACAGACAATAGGCGGTAGTTGGTCAATAACATGCGAGTGAGTTAAAATAGTGTGTCCGAGTCTCATCCTACACAAAACCACTTCCTCCTTTCGACTGGCACGTACACTAGAATTCCAATGTCCTATATCTGTCTTAATCTGCTTCAGTAGAGTTGGACGATAATCTAACCACAGATTTTCAAATAACACACGGACGCGACTCTTCACCAGTGGCACAAATTCCCGATGTCCTATTTTTACATCAGTCACATTAGGTTTATCATGAGCCTTTCCCGCCCAGTAGTCAGCTCTGACATTACCAGCTATGCCACTATGTCCTGGAACCCAGACAACGATGCAATCGATGCCATCTCGTACATTTTTATGATTTATCTCTAGGACCTCCACCAGGGGGGTCCGTCCCTTTACCGGGCCATAGGAGGAAAATTGCTACCAAATGCTGCCAATGTGACGTCACTGGGATGGTCGAAAGCTGATTGGTCGCTGAGATTCAGGCGATGCTGTCAATTCTGGCGCACCGGCGCAGTGTTTTCCAGCCGTTGCGTGTATTGTTATACGGAGTTTGAATATTGTTTATTTGATAATAATATCACTTTTTATGTGTTTGAAGATCGGAAAAGCATATACATAAGTGGCATTCACACACTTGTCGTCTCAGAGATCATGAAGAATGACCAGCTTCAGCAGTTCAGCTCAGGTATTCAATTAATTCAACTGTATAAGCATGAGTATCATAGGCAGATCAGCCACGTTTCAGTTCAACCCGGTTTAACCTTTTTTGTCATTTTTGGCTTTCAAAGGGAGCATGATAATCTCATATTAAGTTGTAAAATACCTTAGCATTGTTTAAAACATAATGAGAAGGAGAATGGAGATGGAATAGTTGTAAATTGTTTCGGATCGGAAGTGGTTAGCTTCTATAAATCTTAATGCTTTGTGAAAATAACAACTTATTTGTCAAATTAAATAGTATCAAATAACAAATCAATCGATGCTTACCTCCCAGACTGGAAAAAATTCACTCACTGTCAGATGCGTCAGGGCCCAGGGGCTTTCGGGTCTCAAAATTCAGCGCAAGTGATTTCTCACCAAAATTTTGCCACATCTTTTGTGCAAAGTTGAAGCTCATTGTTACTTCTTTTCAATATTAGTTGTTGCCAGATTTTATAATCTGTATCTAAACTTTCAAAATTGAATTTAAAAGGATTTCTGACATGCTTATTACTGAAAATCCCATTCTTGTTTATGTAAATGTTATGTCATTGACATTTGCTAACTAAACAAGCTCATCCTTGTCTAATGTCTATATATTGGTTTCTATTTATCAGTCCCACGCACAAGGGGGAAAAGCTCAAATTATTGAGCGCTCAAAATATTGAGCGTGTGACGTCAGAGGCTTCCATAGGCGTAATGCTGAGGGCTCAAAAAATTGAGCCGTTTCAGGAACACGTTTTGCAAAAGCAACTCGCAACACCTAGGGAGAAATGGCAACACCCTAGGAGAATCACTAATGATGCAAAACAGATTAGGCTTTCATATTTTTCACTGCTCAAGCTTCAATGATTGGGGGAACACCAATTTATAGGTCGAAATCTTACGGCATACCAGGATGACTTAAAAACAGGCCAATATTTATGTCGAAATAAAAGTTATTTTTTGTCCATTCACGTTTTTTACTAGGGTTCTGTTGGAAAGAGCATTTTTCATACTACCCAAAATGATTGCGACTCAATTTCACATTACTGATATCGGAGAATATTTTTCATTTGGCGGCGCCGTTTGTTTATTTCGTCGCGACGTCTCCGGTCGCGTGGTTGTCGTCGTCCTCGTGTTGAAGGTAAGTTTTTATCGTTTTAGTTATATTTAGATGTTAAAAGGTACACTGAAAAGTTTGAATATGCTGTGATTTTAAATTTGGAAACACGTAAACGTCAATCAATTCACGTTTTCCTCGATTTGCGTGCAGATAAATAACTGTCGACGAAAGTGGCGCCATCCGATATGATGTTTTGAGGGAAGGAGACGCAACATATTTACGTGAAAATTTTTGTTTTTTAGTGGTCTAAGTGCTTCAAAGAGGCTGTGAATGTTTTCTTCACACAATTTTTCATTAGTTATGGTGAGGTAAAAGGTAGTTTCAGTCTTAACTTTCATATAATTGACATTAAAACATATGATAGTCCACTCCTATCAGTGATTGAGTACCTTGATATTTGGCATTTCTTATTAATTTGAATGTATTCTCTATCCATATGTCCTGATAGTAAGTGACAATACTCTGCCAATATGTTTCCATAGTTTTCACATTCATTTTCCAGTCCTTTACATAACATCACAATTTATAATCTAATCAACAAAACTCAACTCCTTCGTTACTTCACAACACTGACAGCATGAGAGACTGACAGTCAACTATTGTGTGTGTGAATGCTGAAACAGGATAGCCACTTTGCTGACTGGCTCTATGAAATAAGATAAAAATGATCCTTTATATCATTTCCATCTGGAGGATCGGAGTCAACGGAAAAGGGAGGCCACTTTCAAGCCTCAAGGTCTAAGCCGCCAGACGCCAGTCGACAGTCACCACCAAATTTATAATAGATTAATTTTTTATTATACTTTGAGACCCTTAGGTCACTGGATCGACATCACATTTTCAGTTTCAATATAGTAAAGGTTTTTATTTATATGATGTGAAATATTTTCCTGAATCAGAATTTAATTATCCCTAGGTACCTGGTAGAGGTTTCAGATTTAATGTTAATTGTTGGTGTGCAGTCAGGATTTTTTGACAGGTCCAGATAAGGAATCCTGAGCAATTTCCTAGTAAAGTGGTCTCCTTATAATCACCACACATTTTATCAAAAGCATTTGCAGAATTCATTCAATGAAGAATTTTATCAATGTTGCACCCATTTCTTAGACGACCTAGGCTGCATCTTTTTTTAGTTCCTGTTGTATGACATATTTTCCATTTTGTTCCACTGCATAAAGAAAAAAATCGTTTGAGATCACCAAACAGCTTTTCTTTTTCTGGCAGGTCTGCACAACCAAGCGGTCGCTGGCGAGGACGTCGGCCGTCCCTGTGGGTAAGGTCATCTGCTCAGCCTTTGTGGAGATCAGCAAGACGTCACCAAGATGAAGACTTCGCTGGAGCAGAAGCCGCTGACCCGTGTCCGATCGGGCAGGTCATGCTCGACGGCACGAGCCACAACTTGAACGACTCGGTGACATCAACAACATGGTGGAGCAGGTGAATGAGTTTGGCGACGTGTTGTGCGACTGCAAGAAGGGTTGTCTGCGTGTTCTGGCCGGCGGAGCGGCGACGCTGCGCAGTCTGTGCTGGCGGTGAGCAGCTGGCCGTGGTGACCGCGCGCGCCCACATGCGCCGACAACCTGTGCGGCTTCGACGTCCCCGGGACAGCCCGATGCCGCCCACTATGCGACGCCGACCGCGCACTGTCCGCACGGCCACATGGAGGTGTGCCCGCGCCTTTTGCCTGCACGCCGCTACCTCGCAGCTGGTCTGCAACCACGCCGTCGCCGCCTGTAGCCCGATAACAAAACGGCTGTCTGATAATGCCGCGTGTTCTTTGTGATGTTGCTACTGTGATGGTTGCTACTGCTGATCTGAGACTCGATGTTTCCATTCGTCCTTTACAGGTTAAGGATTTGATAATGATTAGCTTAGTCCGAGCTTAGGTCGTTTATATCATTTGTTATATGGCATATTTTGGATCAAAGCAGTACGACACTGCCTCCTGCTTTTGTGATGTATGCTGGCAAGACGCAGGCTCCGGTCGCACGTCACCCGGTTCCAATGTGGTCGGGCTGGCATGCGATAATGTGATGTTGTTTTGCTCGTCTCTGTGTTCCACACTTGATGATGTTTGTGAATCTAACCCACATTGTATAGTATTTTTGTTTGTTTGCGGCCGATGGCCTTGTAAGTTGTAACCGTGGCAATACAGTTTTTCCTGCTATAATTCTCCAATATTCAAGCGTGGGTGGATATCTTTCTGTATTCACGTATTCCCTTCTCCCAGTACAGTCAGAGAATATCAAAACAGTATTCATACGGATTATTCAAGCCCTGTATAATTATTTGAGGTGTGCCGAATCCGAAAGGCGACCGATAAAACTACTAGCGGAAAATGTGACATGATGCCATGGGTTTGTGAGAAGTTCAGGTACCACGTAGCATTCAACTTCCTGCATTTCTGTTTCAACTCAGTTGAAACAGAAATGCAGGAACGTATTTCAACGAACATAACATCAAAAATGGCAGCCAGTACCGGCTTCACCTGTCACGGAGAACGCTCAAAAAATTGAGTGTAGATGCTGGCCGGCACTCAATTTTTTGAGCGCCAGCTGACTGTCGTCTGTCGTGGCGCTCAATTTATTGAGTATCGCGGTCCCGAACGACAAGTGGCGCTCTAAAAGTTGAGCGTCTTTAGGGCATTTTCTTTCCAAAAACACCGATATAAATTATCACGGCGAGTGTTCGAGAAGAAACCTTGTTGCTCTCTCTTGCCATTGATACCTTATTTGGATACGATATTTGCCGTAGTGTGACACTAAAGGCATTTTAAATTACCATCGTTTCGCCTATTCCTTCATAATGGGGCCCGCTCAATTTTTTGAGCGCTCAATTTTTTGAGCTTTTCCCCCTTGTGCGTGGGACTGTTATACCACCTGTGCTACTACTAATTTCTATTTGTTGAGACTATTTACCTAATGCATTTGCTTCATATGATTTTATACGCAGACGCACCTGTGCATGGAACAGTAATGCCAGACCCAAATTCAAAATAATAATGAAAAATTGTGTTATTTGCTTGTTTCAACTGAATTCTGAGTCAGGCCTGCAATCAATACATAATATAAAATGGTACATGTTTTGAGGCTTCATATCAGCACATAGAAAAGGCAATCGAAGAAAAGGCACCTTTGGGCATTGATTATTTTTGCTTGCCATCGCTTTGTGAATTTTTTCATGTTGTATTGTGTTAATAAACTTGGTAATGTGTTTTGCAGGTCCGGGGCTGGTCCTCTGGCGTGCAGGACGGCGAGGAGTGGCTACCTGCACATAACAACACAATGACTGGCACCGAGCTGAGGGCATAAAATCACATCATATCGACTTCAGCATCTGTCTCCCAGCTTTGGAGACGTCGCCCGACTCCCTGAGTGGCGAGCGCCAGTTTCCGAAAGGAAGTTGAGGAAGGCGACCCGAAAGCACCCGCTGGGCTGCCGACACTCCTGCGCTGCCAGCAGGGCGTGCTGCGCAGTAAAGCCTCGCTGCGTGATCTGTACGACATCCGACACCGGCACCCAGACGTGCAGTTTCTGATGACATCCCACCTCAGCCAGGGCTGCCCCGAGAATCTGCTAGTGCTGACTGCCTGCTGCTGAGGCCGACCTGCCGACGACCTGCCGGACCTGTCGCCGCCCTGGTGAGCCTGAGCCGCCCTGGGACTTGCCGCCGTGTCTACGCTGCCGCCCTGGTGAAACTGCCGTCGCCCTGCCGAACCTGTCGCCGCCCTGGTGAGCCTGCGGCCGCCCTGGACCTGCTGCCACCCCGGCGGACCTGCCGCCGCGTCTACGCTTCCGCCCTGGTGAAACTGCCGTCGCCCTGCCGGATCTGTCGCCGCCCTGGTAAACCTGCTGCCGACCTGTCGCACCTGCCACCGCCCTGGTGAATCTGCTGCCGACCTGCCTGACCTGTCGCTGCCGTGGTGAACCTGTTACCGACTTGCCGGACCTTTCTCGCCGCCTTGACGAGCTTGGGGAGCCTGTGCTGAGGTGCCACCGCTCTGTTTCACGTGTTATGTTGCCCGGTTCCTGGCTGTCGCGGAGTCAATCGGCACATTGTGTTTGGAGAGGCGACATCTTGTACAACTTTCCGACAGTTCGGAGCATTTTATTGTACCTACTCAAGTCGCAAGAGATTAGGCTTGTGCCTTATTTGTTCTCTACCAATCTGTCCAATATGGTTTTTTATAACTACGATTTATGGTATGACATAAACCGGTATATTGTGTACGCATTTGGTTCGTTCCAGTCAGAAGTTTGGAATGTGTACATATACTTGTGTTACGGTACAATTTCGGTTTGTGCAGTTCACACCTCTCTTAATTATGGGGCGAAATAGACGCAAAACCAGGGCTGCGGAGTCGGAGTCAGGGTCGACAGTTCTGACCGGACTCGGAGTCGATTTTGGAAACCGAGTCGGAGTCGGGGTCACCGAAAATCCATCGGCTCCGCCAGGGCTGCGGAGTCGATGGATTTTCGGCGACTCCGACTCCGACTCCGACTCCGGCTTTAAAAAACCAGCTCCGACTCCGACTCCGGGCAGAATTGTCGACTCCGACCGACTCCAACTCCCGACTCCGACTCCGCAGACCTAGCAGGGCTGCGGAGTCGACATATTTTCGGTGACTCCGACTCCGACTCCGGCTCGGGTTTCTAAAGTCGACTCCGACTCCGACTCCGGTCACAACTGTCGACTCCGACCGACTCCGACTCCGACTCCGCAGCCCTGGCCGCTCCGCAGATCTGGCAGGGCTGCGGAGTCGGAGTTAGAGTCGGTCGGAGTTGATTACCCAGCCCGGAGTCGGAGTCGGAGTTGGTTTTTGGAAGTCGCGGTTGGAGTCAGAGTCACCAGAAATCCATTGACTCCGAAGCCTGGCGCAAAACTATGGCGATTTTCATCTACGAGAGAGCCGCCGATGTGCTGGCCGGATCACCGGCGGGGCGCACGTTGGCTCGGTCCGATCCCAATAATGTCGCCAAATCTTTGGTTCGAGTAACAGCTGGTCCTGATTTGCTTCACTGAGGAAACATCACACCGTTCTGCCTTGCATCGGACATCAAAACTGCACTAAAATCCGCTGAAAACGTATTTAAACGTCCGTCCTCCATAATGGCTACGGACGGCGGCCGGCGAGTTACCATCCCAGTGACGTCATTCGGGCCCGGTAGGGGGACGGTAAAAAAAAGCCTGATGACCATACCTGGTTATATGGCCTTGACCTCCACCAAGACCGGATGATCACGGCTCTGCACTGTGAGAGCCTTGATAACCGCTTGGGAGTCACAGCATATGAAAAGCAGTAACAGCAGTAATGAATTGCCAAAATTGAATTGCATGCGTCAGAAATCGTAATTACTGCGTCAGAAATGCATTTTATCAATTATTATTTTTAAAGTGGTAGCAGACTTGAAGCAGGGCGAGCAGGGCTGAAAGCAAGACTGAAGCAAGCCTCAAAGACAAGACAGTCCAAATTGTTTTCAGAAATCATGCAAAAAACTGACTGTTCAAGATTTTGAATGAAATTATGAGACAATTTATTTTTGAAACACAAGTCGTCGCTGCTCATCTGAAAGAAATTTCCTAGGATTCTTGATTATAGCAGAAGTATTTGAGTTTCATTTTTTTCAAGGCCGTTTTTCATGGTTTTTCCGTTTTTCCCCAAGATACCTAGGTAGGTATAAGAAACGTTTTTCCACGGTGACTAGGTTTTTCGCCAGGTGTTTCGCTTGCCTTTTTGCATGTTTTTGCATGGCCATATCAGTAAATATCTATATAGGATTAGGGCCTTGAGTAAATATATGGGGATGGGATTTTCGTGTTCCATAATGTTTTTTGTTTTTATGTTTGTGTTGATGCATGCACAACTTAGGTGTGACCAGGTGTGACTCAGGGTATATTGGGTGTGACTGTACGATGTATTGGGTGTGACTCGTATGTATGTATGTATGTATTTACGATCATGGGCCGCCTGGGCGATCCACACATGGCGTGGCGATTACTGCTGTGGCCCATGTGAACTGTGGAAGATGGAAGGTGTCCGACATGGCACGGTTCAGGTTCGTTGCATAGCAGTGTGTGTCCGGCCGCCGGCGAGATGCAGCGGAGCTGCTGGAGGTGTACCTATATCTATATCGAAGAACCTTTTGAACATTTTTCACTGGACCATGCTCTTTTCATACTGATACTTGAAACCGGATTTCAATGTCAATGTGCTTTGCTTACTACATAACATACGCGGAAGGGAGCCGTCTTCGGACCCTCGACCGGCGACCCCTTTTCACTCTGGTGGGCGATCAGCGATGTGCCTCGGCGTCCGCCCGAGTCAGTCAGGCTGTCAAAGGGCCGACTCCGCCCGAGTCAGACGTCAGTGGGACTCTAATAAGAACCGACTCCGCCCGAGTCAGTCGGGCTGTCGCAGGGCCGACTCCTCCCGAGTCAGTCAGGCTGGCACAGGGCCGACTCCTCCCGAGTCAGTCGGGCTGTCGCAAGGCCGACTCCTCCCGAGTCAGTCGGGCTGTCGCAAGGCCGACTCCTCCCGAGTCAGTCGGGCTGTCGCAGGGCCGACTCCTCCCGAGTCAGTGGGGCTGTCGGTCGCAGCCGACAGCGCCGACACTCTGCTCGGATCTTCTCCCGGCGACGAGTGGCTCTCACTGACGATAATGACTGTTGAGTCCCCGACGATTGAAAACAGAGCCGGAACGCGGCATTCGGCAAGCTCGTCGGTGCAGTGGCCGCCGGCGCCGCCGCAGACGGCCGTCGCTGCCGTCGAGGCGGCGGTGCCGGCCGGCGCCGGGTCAGTGTCACGGTCTCCGCCATGACCAACGGCTCGGCGGCGGCCGGCGGCGCGGTGCGGCACCGGTTCGACTCGGCGCTGACGCCCGGCCAGGACCTGGCGTACGGCGCGCTGATGGTGACATCAGGTCGGTGGCTGGGCGCCCCGTCCCCCTGTGACCGGTCGGCTCAGGTCAGACAGCCCGCGGTCGTTGTAGACGGGCAGACCAGCTGCCGGTAACGTTCGGACACGTCAGGCTTCCTATCGCTCGTCGCTGGAAAAGGAGACTGGTTGCTTCAAAGTCCTTGCATTATTTCGAATGCTGTCTAAATCAAGATTATTTTACTACCAGGCCAAAGTGGCGTCGACGTCACTATGTTTGGTCACTGCCACTGGTCAGACGTTCGAACAACTGAAGTATGCCATTTTCTTATGCGTTTCATCTCGCCTTAAAAGAAATAACTCTGCTAAAAAAGTAAGATACCGTTAAAAGTTTAAAAAGGTTTTAATTTTATACGGATAGCCTGATTTATTTTAGACGATTTATTGCGTATTCGGATTGGAGTGTACCTGCATTTAGCAAAAGTTTCTAGCAGTTAGTAATTGCAGAGAGAACAAGAAGCGTATTCTCCGCATAATTGCATCCACCATTGAGATATGTGTGCATTAGAATAGACCAACCATTTCTCCTTCTTTGCGAGCTGGATATTGATATACTTAATGATAGTTAGCATTCAGCACTCAGCAGCACCAGGCGCCCATATTTCGGGCCACCGATTCGGCACGCCCAAGGCGCCACTGCCGTCCGTCAGACGTGCAGTGGACCCTGCATTGTCGGGGCGCTTCATCGCTTCCACGCTCGGGCCTAGAATTGGATTCTGATCGCTCAGTAATGCAATGCTAAAGTCAATTTGTCGTTCTGATGCAGTCGATTTGTCGCTCTGATGCTGGCGAATTGTTTCGGAGGAGCTGTTTGCGCACGTCTTTCGGCATTTAAACAACGTACTCTCACGCTTATCGCGAAATCGGTTTAGACCAGGGGTCGGCAAATGGTGGGGCATGCCCCCTTTGGGGGTAATGGCGCCCTTCGGCGGGGGGTAATGAGGGCCTCTGAGAAAGCCTCATCTTTTTTAGAATTAATGGCTCCCTTGATGGGACAAACATCGCAACTGTTGTGCCCCAGGATTCAAAGATTAGTTAGTCGAGGTCAAACGTACAAAGCATGAACTGATTAGCTAGCGCATGCCAATTTTCATGTAGCTGCTCACCATTCCGTACAGTCGTGGAAAGTAACTGTCTTGTACTAGCCGGCGCTCGTCTATTGGCGTTTGCACAGTCACTAACACAAGGGAGAGGAGTCGTCCATTGCACCCTGACCTGAGCATCTCGGTCTCTGAGCTGGAGCTTTGCAGAAAAATTGAGCGTGTTGCCCGTGAAGATAATCAGCCGGTGCTACCCAATTTAAAGGTCGTTGGTCATTGGGTGACCTTCCATAGGTCAATACCCAGCCAGCAATTCGTCCGGGATGCGGTTGGGGACGGTCGGGATAGGCTCCGGATGTCCCGACTTGTCCCTACCGGGTTGGGTAGGCTTGGGTTGTCCCAATCGATACCGGACCTCGATGGCCGGCGGTAGGGGCGACTCGGGATTTCCGGACCGCATGCTTAATCGGTTGGGACGCGGTACGGATAGCCCAATCGAATCCCATGTTTAGACAGGCTTGTGATTTACGTTGTTATCCCAACCGATCTGAGAAGGCGCTTCGGGCACCATATCCGGTGGCCCAGAAGGCCTGGAAAAGCAATCAGATGGGCCGCGTGCAGGCAGACGCGTCCTCTGAGCGCAGCGGCCAGTCTAGCTGCCGCGTTGGTCAAGTGTCGATCCCTCCTTTGAGCTGCTGCCTCAGGATATTGCTTTTGAACTGGCTCTAGCAAGCGGTCGGTTCAACTGTTGTCGTTGCAGGGAAATCAGTCCGTCTTTGAGAACAGGGTGAGTATAGTGCACACTTCATCCGTGATGTAGGGAGCGGGAAAGCTATAGGTAATAGAAATTGTTATGTTCGTTGTGGTTGTACGGCATGTGAATTACACTCGTGCTGTCGCATGTTTGATCAGTTATCATGGACAGAAGATGTTTGGTCTCATTGTCAAGTGTCGTTAATGGTTGCATTGTAGGTTTGAAACCTGTATTACCAGGCATACCATGTGAAATGTCAGATGTGGGTTATTTCTTAGTGATTTTTAGTGTGTCCCAGACTTTGATTAATAACCTCTTGGTCATTTTCAGATGCTCTCTTTGCACAGTGGTGTGTGGCTGGTGCCGTGGCGAGTCGTGCTCTAAGCCGGATGAAGCCGTTCCAGTGTTTGGGATTCGCAACTTGGGATTCCACACAACGACGGGCTGGGAAGTTCCCTGATGTGGAGCCGTCTCCCCCAAACACTTAGATCGGCCAAGGATAGCGATGTATTTGAAACAGCATGAGCAAGCTATGTAGTGAACACAACGATGAAACCATAGTTCGTTTTGGCAAAGTTAAGGACAGTACAAAGCAGTGAGAAAACGTATATCAGAGCGAGAGATACTTTCTAGAAGAGTGCGTGAATGCCCACACGACGATGAACATTATGATACATACACACGAGCATACATTTCTAAAACATTAATAAATCGGACATAGAAAATGAACAAGTGGAGCAGAGACATCTGGCGGATATCGCTGAACCTGCGCCTCGCGTCAGCTGCGACAGCAGCGCCACGTTGAGGTCGACGGTGGCGCCGCCCCGCGTCGGAGCGCTTGCCAGTCGCCAGCGGCGGTAGTGCCGCGCCGCGTCGGAGAACGTGCGGCGGTGCACTACATCACCCTCCCCCTAGAGACGGCACTGCGAACGTGACGTTAAGAAAACGCGTTGGTGGCCGTACAGCACGGCCGGAGCGGGTCGTCCGTAGGCACGGCGGTGGGGGCGCGGGCGGAGGCGGCGGCTGTAGCGGCAGGTCGCCACGCGGTGGCGGAAGCGGCGGCCTCGGTGCGCGAGGCACTGGCAGGAGGAGCTCTGGGCCGGAGGCCGGTGTTGCCGAGTCGGCGGAACGCGCCGTGTCTTGGACCGCAGACGGCGATGCTGTCGGAGTTGGAGCAGGTGGGGGCCGTTCCAAGTGCGCCGGTTTGACTCGGTCGATGGAGATAACGTCGGAACGACCGCCTCGGTCCACAGTGACCGTCTTCGCCGATCTGTGTAGCACCTTGTATGGTCCGTCATAACGCGGGGCAAGCGGCGGCTTCACTGCGTCGTGGCGCACGAACACGTGCGAGGCGTGGTCCAGCGCGCGCGGCACGTACGACGGCGCGCTTGGTGCTGGTCGTGGTGCCGTCGGGCGCAGTGCCGCCATGGTGCGCTGAAGCTCGGCGGCGAATGATTCCGGCGTAGGAGGCGCGGTGGCGGACGGGGTGATGAGTTCACCAGGTAGGCGTAGAGGTGCTCCGTACACCAGCTCGGCAGTGCTGCAGCCCAGGTCTTGTTTGAGCGCCGAGCGGATTCCGAGCAGCGCCAAAGGAAGAGCCTCCGTCCAGCGGGCGGGCGCGGCGGCGCGCAGCGCGGCCTTAAGCTGCCGGTGCAGGCGCTCCACCATCCCGTTGGCCTGGGGGTGGTACGCGGTGGTCCGGCGCCGCGCGCAGCCCAGGAGAGTGGACAGCTCAGCCCAGAGCGCCGACTCGAATTGGCTGCCCCGGTCGGTGATGATCTCGTCCGGGACGCCGAACCGAGAGATCCAGCCGGAGATCAGCGCCCGGGCGACCTCTCGCGCCGTGATGCCACGCAGCGGGATCGCCTCCGGCCAGCGGCTGTACCGGTCCACCACCGTCAGAAGATACGAGTAGCCCTCAGACGGCGGCAGCGGGCCGACCAGGTCGGCGTGCACTTGTCGAAACCTGTCGGCAGGTGGCGGGAACGAGGCGGGCGGCGCTGTCGTGTGCCGGTGGACTTTGGTGCGCTGGCACGGGACGCAGGTGCGCGCCCAGAGTGCGGCGTCCTTCTTCACCGACGGCCACACGAAACGCCGCGTGACCAGGTCGACGGTGGCGCGCACTCCCGGGTGGGCCAGATCGTGCACGTGCCGGAAGTAGGCGCGCCGGAGCGGTGCCGGGATCCACGGCCGCGGTACACCCTGGGACTCGTCGATGACCAGCGTGCGGCCGCTGGGGAGCCGGGCGTCTCTGAGTTTGAGCCCGTGCTCTGTCGAGCGGAAGCGCGCCAGCTCTTCGTCCTCTTGCTGGCAGGCTGCGAGCTCGTCGAAGTCGTCGACTGGCGGGCACGGTGCTGAGAGCATCGCCACTGTTCGACTCAGAGCGTCCGCAGCTGCGTTTTCTTTCCCAGGCACGTGCCTGATGTCGGTGGTGAACTGGGAGATGAAGTCCAGGTGCCGGATCTCCCTCGGCGAGTAGCTGGCTGACCCGGACGAGACTGCCGACACGAGGGCCTTGTGGTCGGTGAAGATGGCGAACTGGCGGCCTTCCAGAGTGTGCCGGAAGTGCTTGACCGCCAGATACGCCCCGAGCAGTTCGCGGCCGAAGGTGCTGTAGCGTGTCTCTGCTGGTTGGAGTGACTTCGAGAAGAAAGCCAGCGGCGTCCAGGTCCCGTGCGAGTGTTGCTGCAGGACAGCGCCGACGCCGGTGTCAGAGGCATCGACCTGCAGACTCAGCGCTGCGCCGGGAGTGGGGTGCGCGAGCTGCGTGGCCTGAGCCAGGGCAGCCTTCACGCGTTGGAAGGCGTCCTCAGCGGTTGGCGTCCACTCCACCGGCGCCGCGCGTTTGCGTTTCTGGTCCAGCAGGTGGTGAAGCGGTCGGAGGAGGCCGGCAGCACCAGGCAGGAACCGGTGATAGTAGGTCACCAGGCCGATGAACCTACGCAGTTGGCGTTGCGTGGTCGGCTGCGGAAACTCCTGGACTGCAGCGACCTTCTCCGGCAGCGGGGCGATGCCGTCCGGGGACACATCGTGACCGAGGAAGCTGATGCGGTTGACGCCCAGCACGCACTTCTTTGGGTTGATCGTGACGCCGAACTTGTCGAGACGTTCCAGTACCTGACGGAGGTGACGGCGGTGCTGCTCGACGGACGTGCTGGCGATGAGGATGTCGTCGATGTACACGTAGCAGCA